ATCTTATCTACATAGCAATAGCTATGGACTTTTTCCTCCTTCAAATGTGTCTGAACAGAGTCAAAGATTCAACAGGCTGAGACTTGAAAGGTTGATATACTGCTACCCCACCTTCATAGGGAGCAGCAACTGCGTCAGACCACACAGCTGTTCATCCATCTCCTTAATATAATCTGGAGAGGGCTATTTCATAGCTCCCTTTCTAGAACAATCTTCAAATATAACCCATATTTCATTGTTTTATAAGCACATGTAAGCCTCAATAGACTGTACGCTTCTCTAGGCAGGAGCTGGGCTGTGGAGCTCAGCACACAGCAGAAGCACAATAGCCATGGGGATAGTGGATAAAATGAACAGGAGAATCTGGCCACAGGTAACCTGTGAGGAGGCTGGTGTGCAATTCTCAGTGTATCCCCTTAGCCCTTTGAAAAGGAGAATTTAAGGAAGATTTTAAACTGGTTGTTTCCAATTTCTCCCCTAATAAGAGCGAGTCTTCTTATCTAGCCTCACTACTGCAACTTAACCCACAGGCAGGATTCTTTTCAAATAATATCTTTTACCTGGTTAATGGTTTTTTTTTCATAAATAACCTACTTTATATTAGACATTAATCTAACCACTTAGATATGATTAGCAAGCTAAAGGTCTTATGTATTAAAAAGTTAATTTTCCCATCTTAAAAAAAATCAAGACATTTGAATCTCTGAATATGCTCATTTATCACCAACCCCCAACAAGACATCCAGGAGTTTCTCATGTAGGACATGAATAATTTTTATAAAAACACAGTTGCTGACTGTGTCCTACATCCACGCAGCTTTATAAAACAAAGCAAATGATTACCATCAATTACAATAACCTCACTAGACAAGACTGCAATTAATCTACAGCTCTTCAGATAACGACTGCTGCACTGTGCCAAGGAGAATGCCTGGCATTAATTGACTTATCACTATCAGCGATGATAGATGGGGCAGATGGCAATGTGATTATTCACTGTCGACAAAATAAACACATGCTTTGTTGCTGAAGTGTCTACTTGGATCCACTCTGAGGACAGCCAAAAATAGAGGCCAAAAGTTGCTCTGAAGATGGTTCAAAATAAAAGTAAAATGTTAACCTAAAGAATGGGATATATTTACTTTAACTGTGGCTTAACCCTCAGTAGAATCCAACTGGAGAACATTTTCTATAAGGAAGTCATGGACTGAGTAGAGTTTCAGCATTAGAAAGTGCATTAAAGCCCACAGTCCACTTGCTCATTAGGATGAGTCACTTTTATGAAGTCCTCAAGTTCCATTCCATGCTTAATAATTTTAGTGATGGAAATTCATATTTTCAGAAGCAAACTCATCCCATAGATGGATAGCTGTCACTCCTAGAACATACATTTAGCTGAATGCTGTCTTTCTAGAACTTCCAACCACTGACCCTACATTTCCCCTCATCCCACATAGAAGATGCCAAACTCTTCTTGCTCAACTATTGCCCTTTAAATATGAGCATACCTCATTTTGTTGCACTTTACTGCACTACCCAGATATTGCATTTTTTTTACAAATTGAAGGTTTGTGGCAAAGCCACATCAAGCAAGTCTATTAATGCCATTATTTCCAATAGCATTTACTCTCTCGTGTCTCTGTGCCATATTTTGATAATTCTCTCAATATTTCAAAATTCGTCATTATTACTATACTTTTATGGTGATCTGTGATCAGTTCTCAGATGTTACTATTATGACTCACTGAAGACTCAGATGATGGTTAACATTTTCTAGTAATAAAGTATTTCTAAATTAAGGTATGTACATTTTTTTTAGACATAATGCTATTGCACACCTAACAGACTGCAGTGTAGTGTAAGCATAACTTTTATATGGACTGGGAAACCGAAAAATATGTGTGACTCATTTTATTGTGATATTCGCTTTATTGCAGTGGTCTGAAACTGAACCTGCAATTATCTTTGAGTTATGTATGCCTGTATCTCAAAAACCAATGCCTATCCAACTCTTTCCACGACATGTTTTGGTGCTTTCAACATTCTTCTTTTTATTTTTTTTTTGGACCTAGACTCACAGCAGTTTATAGACCACTCATACCCAGGGGCTTGGAAAGAAATGTGATACATCTGATGCTGTCTACCCAGGGCATGGTGTGACGACTTGTGCTGAGACTGATGCTTAGTCTTGTCTTGGAGCAACAGATGGGTGCATGGTTACTCTGCTTGAGAAGCTGCTCTCCAAATCCCATTAGTCTAAATGGGACCATAGCTTTGCCATTTCCAGGGGGCAGTTACCTTGGGTGCACCTTTTAAAATTTTTGTGCAGTATGGCTGTGTTGATTAAGTCCTCTCATTTAGAAAACTGGGATAATTCAAGCAGAATCTGAGCTGAAATTGACATAGTGGGCACTAACCAAATTCTTTTGGAGAAATTTTTACAAATGTGTATGCCTGGACCCCACCTCTGGAGACTGATTCTGTTGCTTTGGGAGAAGATTCCAATGAAAATATTTTGGCAATGTTCCCCGTTTAATTCTGATTTGCAAATCTGTTTAAATGCTTGCTTTATTGGGAACACTTAATAATGTACTACTGAGGGAATGCTTCACAAACCTAACCATCATACTCTCCTGGGAGCTTTAAAAATGCAGATTCTTTGGAACAACTGATACCTGTGGTCTGGGGTAGGTCTAGGAAAATTAATACATCAAGTGATCAAATTGTTATCTGTTTCCCTTAAGGATTTTGGAAGCTCTCATTTACTCCAAAATTGTAGTTTATATACAAGTTACAAAGCACCCTTATCACATATTGAAGAAACAAGCAACTTTAAGAAATTCTACAATGTTAAGATTTTAGCCTACTGACCATCTATATTTTTCCTCATTCATTTAATAAATTCATTCATAAATTTATTTTTATTCTGAGACAATATTGTGATAGGCATTGGATTGTTCAGTAGGGGAGAGAAACAAACAAACAAAAAATAACAGCAAATAAATGAATGAGTCAACAAAGAAAATAATTACAAATCTTAAAATACATATTTAAAAAGGAAGAGTTTATCTAATTTGGATAGTCTCTAGTTCAGACTGGCAGTCCCCAGTCTCTCTCAGTTCATGAGTTTTTGCCCTCCTTTCATCATATTCCCTGCTATACTTTAGTTCAGGGTCTGCAACTCCTTGACATCTTCCATTACATTTCCATGTCCCTTTGGCAGACATCCCTAATCATTCCCAGCATTTTCCCTGCAGATCCAGGAAGGAAACTCTTAGTCCTGCTCAACCCTGCCTTCTATGCAGCCATTACTAATAGATCACAGATGAAATCCATGTGCAGCTTCCCTTGACACTCCTTGGTTTTTGCTGTCCCTCATTTCCTGTTTTACCTTTGTTGTCCATCAACTACTGAATACTTCCAGTGCTCCTTGTGTTTTTAATCCCATTTAATTTTTGAAACAACCTAGAGAAGTGTCTAAGCTTAGTCTTAGAAGGATCAAGTAACCATCTCAAGTTTACACAATTAGTGTGTGTCAAATAGGAGTACCAACTCAGGTTCTTTGACCCTAAAGCTAACACTCTTAAAATTGTTCTGTATTGCTCTTTTCTCAGCCCAGTTCAAAGGGCACCTCCTCTGTGAAGCTTCTCCTGAACACTTCAAGTAAAATTTGTCACTTCTGCCTTTGAGTTAGCCGGGGCCTTAGTACAGCTCCATTATAGCATGACATTATACTTTAATGATCTGGATGTTGCATTCTTTGAGCTCCTCTGCAGTAGGAGCTCTATCTTTTTTTTTTTAAGATCTCTGTATCCCTGGTAACTAGCAGAGTGCCTAGGTAGGTTCTCAGTTGACGTATTTTGAACAATCATTAAAATCTGGCCACTGGACTCGTTAGGCTTATGGATCTCTTTCTCAGTGTGTGGCCTTACTATATAAAAATAATGCCAGGTTTAAACATGATGTTGATTAAAAATATTTAAAAAGTGGGGGAGGGTATGGCTTGGTGGTAAAGCACATGCTTAGCATGCACAAGGTGCTGGGTTCAATCCCCAGTACCTCCATTAGTAAAAAAAAATTGAAAAGTAAGTAAACCTAATTACCTCCCCCCACCAAAATAATAATATAAAAATTGAAAAAATATATGAAAAAGACCAAATCAATAATTAGATACATAATTCTGTTATTTCAAAGTCTTCTTGACTTATTGAGGACTCTTAAACAGAAACCTAGTTGCAGGATATTTAGCATATAAGGATTCCTAACTCCTACTTGATAACCACCTTCAAAGTACAAGAGAGGTAAAACAGGTCAAATTAACTACACTCTGCTTGTCAAGTGTCATAACCCAGATGATATCTGTTTAAGCTGTGGCTCTTATCCCATCATTGAAGCTCTGGTTTGGCTCACTGATTGGCCTGAGTTCTGTATGGGTTGATGGTGGCACATAGTGACACTCACTGTTAACGGTGGCACAAGATGAAATTTCCATTCTGTAGAAACTCAGTCAGCCTATTTAGCTGCCTGATATATATGTATATATAACAATAAGTCAAAGTTTTGTGCAAATTAGACTCATCATTCTACCAGGAGGGAGAATTACGGAATCTATGTGATCATATCTGACATAGAGGAGGCTGATTGCCCAGATATGTACAAATGAAGATGTACATGAAAGGTGAGGGTTTAGGGTTGAAATAATGCTCTGGTGATATCTTAGGGCAGTAGTCACAAGAGAGCTGCATCAACATCTCAGAAGGAAATATGAAGTTTCATTGTGGTCTTCCCTGGAAAACACTGGAACCTCATTATAAACTTCCATGTCAACTCGCAAGAGACAGATGGAGAAAGGAGGCACAGACCTTCTTATTTTATAGATTCAAGAGCAGTCTTTCCATATGTTATCTCACCTTGGATATAAATAGGCACCAAATCGTATTAATTGGCACCAAATTGTATTAATTGGCACTTACCCATAGTACTTCAATAACCCCACCTACCTCCCCAGAGAAGGCTTGTCCGTTGAGGAGGTGCTCCGACCCTTGGCTGTCCTCACTCCCAAAGTGCAGTCGGATCTCCTCCAGCCGGTGGCTGTATGTCATGGGCCCTCCTGATATGTTGACCAAGTGCTCCTTGTCCAGGCGCAGGGATACGTGTCTTCCAGTGTTGTACATGGTCCCACTGACCTACAAGGCAATGGAAAGCAGGTCAGACAAGGCTCTCCTCTTTCCATTTCTCACAATTTCTCACTCAACCTGGCTGGTGCCTAGACAAATGCTTTTGCTTCCTTTTGATAGGAAGACATTGGTTTGATTCCACATGTGGAGCAGGGAATGGCAGCCTCCGAAGAGGGCATTCCTGCTCTACCTGGCCTCTGTGGTACTTTCTGTGAGTCATAAGCCACATTATCATTCAGGAATCTGAGGTAGGAACTCAAAGGAGACCTCATCACTTATGACTAATATTTTGGGCATTGCATCTTATGAAAAATTAACTTGTCCTTTTATCATAATTATTTGGAATATAAAGATCTCAAGTGTGAGAAATTGGAAAGAGCGGTTAGTGGGGATGAGATGCTACAAAAGCCAAAGGAGAGACAAGGAAGCTAAAATGGGTGAATAGGAGGAAACCTTAGTGGGAGACTGAGGCTTGGGTCTGAAGACTCAAGTATGCAGTCTGGTGTGTCTCGGTTTAGGTCCTTCTGTCACTCCTGCAACCAGACACTGCACAGAATGAGAGCTCTGATCCTTCTCCACAGCTTCTGGCCTCAATGTGAAGCTAAAGAGATTCATACAAGCTTCCCCTTCCACAGATTCCCAGACCTGCCCCTCACTTCCTGCTCCATCTTGCTTTAGGCACTGCAAGCATTTAATGTTACTGCTTGGGGTTTCTTTTCCTTCTTTTCTCTTTGAACGTGATGATTAGCACCTCTCAACACTAGATATTAGAATGCTGATTCCTACCTGTGACCCCATTGCCTTAGTCTCCTGGGTTGACTTAGCTCCAGGAGCAGACTGAAAGCTTAAGGAAGACTTCGACTGGGTCTGGATGGAATGCTTCTGGACTACTGATTGCAGAGCTACTTGGATTTTCTACCTGCTTACTCTGACTCCTTTGGGCCCAACCCTACGGTTTCCTTGAGGGCTTCACATAATTTCTGATACCTTCATCAGACATGGTTTTCATATATTTGCTCTTTAGTATTAGCCTATGTGCCCCTCCACCTTTCTGACACTAGTCTTGTGATTGATCAGTTAGTTTAGTTCTGTAGGTTTCTCCCTGTGGCAGAGACAACAATGGTCACCAGATACTCCATTGACTCGTTATTGCACCACCTTGCTGTAAGGTGAAGCCCGTGTGACTGATGTTTGCCACGGGCTATGAGGGGACATGACAAGTGTCACTTCCAGGCTGAAACAGTGAAAAGTTTATGCACAACTCTCCAGTCTGTTTCTTCCCCTGCTACGTCAATCATGGGGGCAATGTGAAAATGGGCAAACATGGTGCAGCTACAAGACGGAGCCTGTGTCAGCCTGGGTCCCTGGCAGACTATGTGCAGATTGCAAAAATGGCTAGAGTTCTTCCCCTCCCTGTAACTGCACTACTTTAACGTGACTTTTTAACTGCTCCCACCAAGATAGGGGGTTGGTTATTTCTCCACTCCTTGAATCTGGACAGGCCTTGTCACTTGTTTTGGCCAGTAGCATACAGTGGATACAATGTGCTAAATCTCTAGAGGCCTTGCACACATCCTTACTTGTTTTTGGAAACGAGATCATCATGCAAACAGGCCTGGGCTAGCCCGCTGGAGGATGACAACATAGTGAGGAGAGCCATCCCAGGAGAAGCCATCCTAGACTGGCCATTCCATGGCTGATCCACCAGTTGACTGGCCCAGCAAAGATCAGCTTAGCTTGGCCCAGACTAGGAGAACTTCCCACAGACCCATGGGCTGGGGAGCTAAAAAATTGGTGGTTAAGTCCCTTAGCTTTGGAATCATTTGTTATATAGCAAAGCTAACTGATATACAGTAGTCAATCATCTCTGTCCTGTGAGTCTGGAACTAAGAACAGAAATTCTGGACAGTCTTTGTTGAGTACCTGAACTAGAAAGTCACATGGGGCTCAGACAGTCAAACTGCTAAGCAGCTGGAAAGTCACACCAGAGAGAGAGAAGAGCGAACCAGATCTGCCAACAGTGACAGAGGAAACCATGTGGAGAGAGAAAGAACTGGAGAGAGTAACTACTTCACCCTCAGAAATCCTTTGCACCTCTTTGTTCCACTTCCTTCATGAGACCTGGGCTGAACTTTCTCTGATGCTTCTTCACACCTTACAAATCAATTTATTTTTTCTTAAGCTCTTTACTTCTTACAATCAAATGAGCCCTATCAAAGATTCTCCTCTTTTTCTCCAGTCTCAAATAAATGTGTATTTAGTCAGTATGAGATAATGAGAGCTTGTCTTCTTTTCATGTCCCAGTTTATGACTTTCTTTGCAGTAAAATAGTTAGAGATAGGTTTGTGTTTGACTTTGCATTCATCTTTAAAATTTATTTTTGCTACTTATTAAGATAATATATAGGCATTTTATGTAGTTAGGAAGATACAGAACAGCTCAAGGAAATAAAAATCAGCCACAATTCCAAGTTAGCCAATAATCACTATTAATATTTGGTATATAAACTCTTTGCCCTCATAAATATGTATACCCAGATTTTAATGAAATCATTTTATTTGTATGGTAATAAATAATTTTCACATGCATATATATGATTACATACAAATGTATTATTGTATATAATCATTTATATATGTATATACATTTATATATTTATTATTTAATATACTTAGTATTATAATATTATATACAATATATTTAATGTTTATTATATACCATTTATATAGTAACATATAATAAATATATATTTTTTTAGTCACATGAATATTTTCAGATTATCAGCTGGAATAGCAGTAGCACTTTGAAACGTCTTTACAATATTCCACTGTAAAAATACGTAACTTATTGCTGAATCTTTACAATCCCTCCACTTTTTCACTATTGTTAAACAATATTGCAATGAGATATAGAGAACAGACTAGTGGTTACCAGTGGGGAGAGGGGAAGGGGGAGGGGAATTCAGGGGTAGGGAAAAAATAAAGGTTATTATGGGATTATATGAAATATCCGTGTGAAACCTGAAAATTGGAAAGCACTATAGAATTTAAAAAACCTTTCATTCAATAAAAAAAATACTGCGGTGAATATTCTTAAGGATAAACATTTTTACTAGTCTCGAGATATTTCATTAGGCAAACTCTGGGTCAAATGGTGTACACATTATTAAAGTTCTTATTATCCACTGCCAAATCCATCTGCTGTGGGGAGTAGGTCCTACAGACCAGGGCTGGATCTCCAATTCTCTTCAATTGAGACTGAGGATGGAATCATGAGATTCAACTAGCAACACTCATGGGCACCCACGATGTGCCAGGCAGGATACCAGGAGCTTCTTCGAATTCTTATAGGACCATAAGTTCTGCCCCATATATATAAATGTATTATATATATTGTGGGCAAGTATATTGGGCCTCCCTGCACTTCTAAAACTCCTTTCAATGTGTCTACCTAATGTTCCTAAGAAAATTATTGCCCATTGAAGCAAGGCAGGGACCATGTCCTATGCTTGTCTGCATTATTCCAGTACTTAGAAAACACACTGGCACATAGTAGAAGGAAGAATCAAGGATTCTTGGGTCAAAAGAGTCCTAGTCGGCCTCTTGGTGACCTTGGGTAGTTCAGTTAATTTCTTGAAGCCTCAGTCTCCTTAACTGTAAAATGAGATAAGAAAATTTCCCCCATGAAAATGAGGGATTAAAAAGGTATAAGGCATAAAGAAAATGAATATCAAAATAATAGAAGTAAATCTGTCCTTGTCAGTCATTACTTTAAATGTAAACGGATTCCACTTACATGAGGTACCTAGAGTCGTCAAAACCATAGACATGGAAAGTAGAATGGTGGTTGCCAGGGGTTGGGGGCCAGAAAGGAATGGGAGTTACTGTTTAGTGGGTATAGAGTTTCAGTTTTGCAAGATGAAAAGAGTTCTGGAGATGGGTGGTGGTTACCCAACAATATGAATGTACTTAATCCTCCCAAAATGTACAAGAAAAAATGGTTAAGATGTGTATTTTACACACATAAAAACTGGGGAAAAAATTCCCTCATGGGTTTTTTTTTCACGAGAATTAATACATGTAATGATTCCTTTACTTTCAACAATGTGCAGGTGCCCAGCTAATGTTGAGGGAACTGTGTTGATCTCAGCCACTTCCCACAGCCTGGTGGAATACAGTGTTGCTTTCTAAAAGAACTTTGACTGACTTCTGCATTGCAATGATTCATTTGCCTCTTATTTTAAAGCTCCAGATGTGGGAAGTATCCAAGGTCATTTTGAAGGCCATGAAGCAAACACGAAACCAGGGTAATCAGGAATAAGTCATTGTGTCTTCTAGTTCTTCTGCTCCATTCTTCCAGACTCCTTCTGCTTACATGGCTCTGATTTCATTCATTCATTCATTCATTCATCGGACTGTGTGCTAGGAGCTGGGGATAGTGTGGTGAGTAAACGAGGCATGGTCCATGCCCTCCTGGAGCTCACATCTCCATTATGTAGAGACAAGAGTGAGGTAAGGAAGTTATGGAGAATCCATCTGAAATTCCACCATTTGCCCAAAGGTTCTTACAGTTAGAGGAAGAACCCTTTCCCCTCCACCCTTCCTCCAGACACCGAAATAACATTAATTTATATTAATAAAAAAAAAGCTGTGTAGCCAGGGTACGGTTTGTTGCACTTTAATTTAAAAATAAAGGCTTGACAACATTATGTATAATATCTAATGGCACATCTGCACTGTAGTAATTAACATTGCAGCAGTGTCATTCTACCTGTAATGCTAATTATAGTGTTCCCGATGAACTACTTCGGCGCACAGCATGTTAGAAAAAGTTGTGTTATGCAGGCCAGGTAACAGAGCTGAATGAAGCTGAAGCTACGGGCGGTATCCAGGTTGCCTCTGGCGCCTCACAGTTCTTTTTGTTTTATTTTAATTCACTGCAAAATGAGATGAGAGATGTGATGCCCAATTTACGAATGAGAGAAGAAAGCGTGGTTGGTGAATGCTCAG